ATGCGCGTGAAAGTAACAAAGGAAGGCGCACACACACAAATCTATAAGGAAACATACTTCCAGGTAGTGCACATAGATATATATGTATATGGATATATGCCAAGTGTAGCTTACAGTGTATACAGGCGACAAAACCTTGAGACCCTCAATTTCAGTCTCAGCAATGTGGGCGGCCCTTCGTGGCAATCGGCCGGGCGAAGGACACACTAAGAACAAGGTGCCGCTGTCGCCGCCTGGGCTGTCAGTGACGCAAGCACAGCAGGAGGCTATATTATTTTGCAAGAGAGCGAGTTTAAGGACATGTAAACACATGTAAACTGACACATCAGCCAGAGCGATGAACGAACCAGACAAAGGATAACCATGTTGCATGCAAAATACAACTTGAACGAACAAATACATTTTTTTGTTGCGTTTTTTGTCGCCTTTTGAGTCAACTACAATCTGCAAACGAAGAGACTCACGTATGCATGAAGTCATTTGAGTCTGGTAATTGCGTTGGTCTCTGGGGCACACAGATGCACTACTCCTTCTGAAAGTCCACCCACAAAGTGTCTGCCACAAGCTGTAAAGTATTTCGCCTTAATAATTGATTAATGCCACAAGCCTGTTGATGGTTGACACAGAGTCAAGCTATAGTTTATTTATAGGAAGCATAAAAGCAAAAGGAAACCCCTGCGTTAAGAAGAAGTTCAGAGGGAAGTGGTTAAGTACATGAAAAGTAGGAAGTGTCTGGAAGGATGCATACACCGAACACTTCTGCAGTTCTTCCGTGTATTTAATCACAATCGATTTCCTCTGAATGAAAAGCAACAAACAAAGAACGTTTCCAATCTTTTAATCACATTATCATTTAGGAATTTAAAAAGTATTCACAAATTCAGAGAAAATGGAATTGAAAAACTATGAGCTTCAAATGCATTAAAATTGCATTATATTTGATACAAGTTCAATATGATACATATATGTAGTGTCAGAATGCATTTATCATGATTCATTTATCATTCACTTATCATGTGGCAATTCCACTTCCACCTAGCCATAACTAACGAGCGAAACGGAATGTACGATATAACGGTTGTCGACGCCATTGTGGTTCATGTTCAGACACGTCATCGATACTAATTCAATAAACAATGAAAAATGTCTGGCATGGTTGGGGCTGGCTGACATCTACCACTTTCACGACTTTCCCAAACTGTACGTGTGTGTGTTTTCTTGGCAAACAAACCAGAAAAAAGATTGAAAATTACGTGAAAAGGCAAACATCACAAACAAATCAGCATATTCGATGAGCAGGCACATACTTCCTCTGCATCAGTGCGGGGGTGTGGGTGGACGTAAACAACTTGAAGCTTGGATGGGATAACATTTGATTTTCGATTTGAATTTATCATATTTGTGCTGTGTAGCCGCCATGTATTCGTTTGTACTCATTCATTCGTTTGCATAAAGCGCGCCGAGTCCTTGTTTTGCATGTGACAAATGCAAATCTCGAAAAAGTATGCTACAGTTTATGTCAAAGCTTATTATGCCGCTCACCGACGTGGAAGAAGAGTCATCCTAACACAAACACTGAGACGTAACCGTGCACTATGGCACATACGTGTGCATACATATGCTGTATTGTGTCTTTTGTTTGCATACACGGGGAGGATGTTAGGGTATGGAAAAGGAGGCTATCCTACGCCATGAAATATATTTTTGATCTGGAGCATATCCTCAGTTGTAAAGCTAGCTGAACTATGATAATACCCCTCTCCTTTTGACGTCAGTTAGGTTATGTTCGGTTATGTGAAGATACTGATAATTCACAACAGATTTGCAAGCTTAAATCACATTTGAATCAACGCTTTCAATCCGCCAGAGTATCCATAACTTCGATTCCTTTTGCTATCTGTTCCGTAGCGTTATTGTGTTGGTATTGGTGTTTGGATTGTTAATGGAAGACAAACGTTATCGGTTTCGAGCACATGCAGCAACAGCCGGAAGGCAGAAGGGGGAGAGGAGCAACAAACTAAATACAAATAAATGTATGTGCACAAACGTTTTGTTATCCACAAATTCAATTTGCATGTTATGTATCAGTTAGAAATCATTTTTTGCTTTCCCCCATATATCAAATTTTTTTTTAATTGACTTAAATTTTTCTTTTGTCATGGAATACCATGGAAAACTCCTCCTTGCTGGCATAGTTAATTTTCCCCCATTAAACGGGTAAAATTGGCCAAAAATGTTAGCCAAATATTTGCATCGGGCACTGACATTTTTGGCTTACCAGGAGCCAACGGCAAAATGCCGGAGCTCGATGGATCCTCAAGAATTTGCCAGAGACAAATTGCTCAAAGTTGGATGCAAAGACAAACAGCGTGGGGCAGTGGATGGAGGATGACTGTCAGCAGTCTGTGACCATTCGTTCTGACGGTCGCTCTTCCTCCCGAGTGTACGGCTGGACATGCCTCAGCGCTGGACAAAGAGAAATATGATGCATTGCTGGTCAGTGTCTCAGCTGGTGATTTCACTCCCATGTCTCCCACTCACTGTTCAACTCCACAATGCTTTGTCGACGGCGCTGCAGCAACTCATGGCGCAATCGTAGCTCTAATTTCACCCGTTTATTTGATGTAATTATTGCTCTAGGGTGCACTGTGTCATAGAAGTGAATGAACGCTAGAAATATTTATAAATGGCCGAAAACATCGATTGTAAAATAAAAAGTCTAAAATGTAAACTTTAATGCATTTACATTTTTTTTTTTTTTAATATGCTTCCAAACAGTAGCTGCCATTCCACAGTAAATTCATTATCTAAGTCTATTTCAGTAATTAGAGCCCACAGCCCCTACAAAAGGAACAAAAGTTGAAGGAAACTCGATATACTTATTTATACCTTACCAGCATGTCCATTCCCTCGGAGCCTAATTAATGTGACAGGTGACAGGAGATAGCTGCTGGTTAACTGTCATTGCACATTTTCGACATGTGATTAGCGCATTTGCCGTTGCTCAATTAAATGAGCCTGTTATGTGGTTACATGACCATTTTTCAGCTAATTAATGAGGATAAAACTGACCAGAAATTGCTATTGATGTGTGCGTTCACGTTTCTCAGTTAGACATATTCGTTCTAATTGCAGCTCTAAGGGTTTTCCAAAAAAGATCAGCAATTATTGGAAATCGCCAACAGATTTCTGTACAACTTTAAAACCCCCAAATGCTAGCGAGAAATCCATTTTCGTATCAGTCGTTATCCGCTTGTATACAATTTTTGGTAGCAGAGGCTCGCTCAACATCAAAGCCATTGCGGCTTATACTTCATTCCCATGCGTGAAAAACGGCAAACACACGCGTTGGCGCAGGAAGGAAAAGGAATGGACAGATGGGCCTAGGGCTAAGTCTCCGGTTTGTTTGTTCACGGTGCACGCAAATATTGTCTTGATTTTTTCGCTTGGTTCTCCGTTGGTTTTTTTTTTCGCTCTGGCAGGTCTGATTCATGTCTATTTTCCAACTCGTTGGGGTTGAAAGTCATCATCATTAGCCTTCTGCCTAGTACGTATATATGTATGTACCTACATATAGGTTTCTTATGTCTGCAATTAGCAAACCAGCTTGAACAACTTTCTTGGGCCATAAGAGCTGCTCGACAAAAAATGTTTTTGCAGCATTTGGAACCACAGAAACATGGACTACAAACACCTAAATGTTCACTGGTAGAGACGGGAACGTCGCACATTTTCGTACTTTTTTAATTAAAACATAATCTATTTATTAGGCGCCTTAAAGCCATGTTCTAGGAACAATATCATTTAATTAAGCGCAGAGTAAAGTACGAGTGCATGGCATGGGCCTTGAAATGGCTTTGTGTACCCGGTTTTTGGCCAAGTTTAATTACAAAATGCAATCAAATTAGCCCGCTGCCGTGTCTTATGATGTTATTACAAATGTTTTCGCCCATTTTCACTAAACCAGATGAAAGAGCAGTAACATCATTCACCTTAATGTTTCCGCGGATTAAGGGGTCTAGCGGACCACCGTTTCACCTTGTTTTACAAACTTTTACAATTTGCATTTGCCAAAACGTTTTAAACTCGCTTTAAGCCGCCAACACTTTTCCCCACTCTGGCCTTATGTGTATTATACCCACTCCTGCGTCAGTGCAGATATCATGTGTTGTGTGTTATATATCCCCTGGGCTAATATAAAACTAAAATAATAAATGACAAGAACGTGACTCGACATTTGCGCTGTCTGTCAGTTTTTTTTTGTGGATTGAGTAAAAAATCTTTTCTTGGAAAGCTAAGTGGTGGTTGAGTTTTAAAGTCGGCAGTTTGTTGGCCGAAATCGCAGAAATCACAGTTGCGGGAGTATTGTGCAATGGTTAGCTAGTTTCACACCCACTTTTGTGCGGTTTGAGCAGCACTGCTGAATTATGTAGGTAAAAGACGTGTAAAATGACGCTATTTTTCCCATGATATGTAGAATTTACCCGAATAAATAAATAATTTTAGATAAACTCCATCCTATTTTGTTTTTTAAAGACACTCACAGATATAGTTTTTTTGCCCATATAGTTTAAGTTGCGTACGGAAAAATCGGAATGTTAATTAAGGTTCATGAGAGCACTATTGTGCACAGAATATTTTGTCCTGGTTGCAAGCATGACAGTTTTCCTTTTTAGCAGTTAAAAAGTATATAGATTACATATTTTATTTGCTCATTTATTAATTGTATTTACATTGTATTCATATTTTTCATATCTTTATATAATTATTTTATTTAATAAACTTATATTCACGTCTTTTCAAAGATCGTATATATTTAAATTTTATTAATTTTTGTTTATTAGAAATACAGGAAATTAGCTTAAAATGATAGGGATTAATTTTTCATAAGATCTTGAAATTATTTATAATTAAAAATGTCATATTAGAACCGAAATAAATTCAATAGTTGTCCTATAAATATATCTAATTTATTATCTAATTCAAAGGGGATTGCTTACATGATCGACAGAGCCGAACTAAGACTTGAATTTGCTTAAATGTTATTTGTTATTTATCAAAACTAACTAAATGGACGACACAATGGATTGTGACTTTCTATTTCTCTCCTTACCTTCAACCGTTTTAGTTTTGCGCACCTTGGCTTTTCCTCGTACTGCTAACCCAGCTGACTTTTTCAAAACTTTGGTCAACTTACAATTGGCAGCAAGTTGGCAAAATTTCACGAAAAAAAACCTAAAGTTTTTCTATTCTGTTTTCTCTATCAGCTAAACTGGAATAGTTTTTTTTCCTGTTTCAACGGACCTTGGCATCGATTGATTTCTGGGCAAATGATTTTCGGCACAAAAACTACGAGCCGTACGCTAGCATAGGAATGCCCAAACATAGCAGACTGAATGGACAGGAAGTGTTTGTTGGGGGTGGGGGAGAGGTTGTGTGTCCCTTGGCCGTGTCCGTAACCTTTATCCATGTATCCAAGAACCCACCATCTGGAGGTTTTTGCTTTAGGAGGTTTCGCTGGCGCCATACAGCAGATTTTCCAGTTTTAATTTGTTGACGTGATCGCCACGGGCCCCATGTCCTGGCCGTCCCCAAAACGTTTCGAAGGTGTCGAAATGCTGATTGCACAGGTCCCGGTCCAGTTGTTTGGAGACGGAAACGGAGCGTCGGTTCTGAGATATTTGGACATTCAAGTCGTGGAGATAGCGCATATCAGCGGCCGTTTGAATCCTGCATCGAATTGCATGTGGCAGATGATGTTCATGGGTTGGTGGGCAGCAATTTGGGTAGGTTGGTTGTTGGTTTATTAAGTCATTTCGTTTGTTAACGTTTGGTTTGGTTTGGTTTTCAGGGTTTTTGGAATTGCAAACGATTTTTGGTTTGGTTCGGTTCGTTTCGTTTCGTTTTGCACGGGGATACATAGAAGATTGGTATTATGATTTGGTTTTTGTTGGTTTAGTTTTGTTTTTTGTTTTTGGTTTTTGGTGAGATTGGGTTTGCTCTTTTGGTTGCTATACTTTCACTTGGATTACAATGGATATTTTCTTTTTGCTGAATGAGCCGAGAAGAAGTGGGGGTAGATAAAACCATTAACAATGCAAAATGATAGACTTAAAAGACGAGGGGTCGGGTAAGTGGAAAGCGGATTGTTTTTCTATCTTTGTTTTTCAATATGGCGCAGAGCAAGCAAATGAGAAACGGAAATGAAAATGTGAGGAGGACATGCTACGGGGAAATGGGTGGGAATGGGCAAAGACAAATGCCTAACGAATGTGCAATGTGAGCCGTTTGAGGCAGCAGCCCGTGGCCGTGGCTGTGGGGCAATCGCAGCTGCAACATTGCAGCTTGCAGCTCAGATTCTTGGGCAGCCGCTTCATGAGGCCGATGTTCTTGATGATGCTGTTGATGCACTTGATCTGGGTCGGTTGACTGTTCTTGGGCTTGTGCTTGGATGCGTACCTATCATGCGAGGGCGTCCTCTTGGTCACATCCGTGCTGGACAGGCTGATCGGCCGGTGCATGCCACGTCTGCGCGCCAACAGCGGCACAAGCTCCACGCCACCGCCCTCTCCGCAATCGTTGCCTCCATTGGTGGCGCTGAAATTGGGCGAGGCTGTGCTGGTGCTCCCCGGGCACGGTCCGCGAGCCATGCGTGGACACAGCCTGATGGGTTTGCAGTCCTCCGGCTTCAGGTGGTGCACCATCTTGGGTGGAGCAGGCGGTAGCGCCTTCTTACCTTGTGGCGGTGGTTTCAGCGGACTGTTCATGGCGGGGCAGGTGCAGGTGCAGAGCTCACAGCATCGTTGCGGCTGTGGTTTCGGCGGTTTGTTGGGCCTCGATTTGCGGAATGTGTTTTTCTCTGCCGGAGTCACAGGATTGTCCTGATCAAGTTCCTTGAGCATTTCCTTGTTCGTCCAGCCCTAAAGAGAAATGGTTTACAGCCCAGAAGCTAAAATGGATGGATGCTGGATTTCTTACCAGCGATTTCATGAATGTGTTTCCTACTTCCTTGGGACTGCGCCAGGGCTTGCCTCCAGGCCCTGGCTTGCCCCATGGCTCCTTGCAGGGCTAAAACAAGAATTGGAGAATTAGTCAGGCCATGCCCCTGGCTGCGTAATAAATGCCGCTCACCGGCTTTTCCAGCTTCGCCTGCAGGCGCTTCTTCTGCGAGACAAGCTTCTCCTGGAGCGGACACCGCTGTTCGCTCTCGCTGACGACGATCTTCTCGAGCAGCGGCTTACCCTTGCAGGGCGGCGAGGGCTTGTACCGCAGCTCGATATCTACGTGTCCTTTATTGCGAAACGACATTGAGGGATGCTCTTTCAGCTGGATGTGCAGACTCTCACCATTGGCATTCTTGGACAGGCCGACGCCTAATCCAGCGCCGTGCTTATGCGGTATCTCCCGCTCACAGATTGTCACGGTGCTGCTCCTCGGCCCGCTCTCCTGTAGATGGTGCATGGAGTGGGCATGTCCCAGACGACCCCCTGGCGGAGGTGGCGGCGGATGGTGATGATGATGTTGGTGGTAGGCAGCCAGCGGATTGTTCTGGCACTTTTTCGGCATTGAAAAGTAGTCGTTGTAGCGACACGGCTGCAGGGAATTCATCCGGTGTGCAGTGGTCTAAGGGTTGCACTTTCTTATTAGAGTAGAGTTTTGGGCATCATCTGATCAGGAACTACTTACCACGGTTGGTGTGGAATGAAGACCAACGGCTGTGATATCCTTACGGCGTACTTCTATATTAGGAGCTCCGCCACCAGGCCTCCCCCAAGGACAATGTTGTAGGAAGAGGTCGTAGTACTGGAAGGAGGCAGGTGTCGTTTAATTGCATTTAATATTATGTGGAGTTGTCTAGAATTTCCCCCAACTTAATTCCTACTTAATGTTACTAATTAAGCAAATCCCATGGTATGTATGCAATGCATTCCTAATTCCCTACTTAATGTATTACGAGTGCCAATTAAATAAATTCCCTAGTACGTAATGTATTCCAGTGTTCAGCCAGTCAGACACTGATTACAAAACCGTGTTATGCTCTATCGATTTCTTGGCAGCCTATTTACGGGTCCCAGACGTGACCTGCCTCCTCTCCCATCTCAGTGTGTCACTCTTACCCGATTGTGTTCCGCTGTTTGTTTACGGAAATTGGCCATTCCACCGTGCCCCCGTGCCCTGGCGCCAGGCCCGACAACTACTTTGTTTGTAGGTTGTTGTTATAGTTGCAACGCCTCGCGATTTGCGATTTGCATTTTCACTGATTTCTTTCACCCACATTTCGGCTCGGTATCGGCTTGTGTATCACACTGTGATATTTTGCTGAAGAATCAGACAGGAATTCAGTCACGCAAGGCAAGGTACGTAGGTACGTACCAAGCTGCTTCTGGTTGGGCATTCGTCGTCTGGCGAAATGATTTGATTACTAAAGTCAAAATTGTCAAAGGGTTTGTTGAACCACATCCACGAAAAACTGATGTATTACATGTTGCTTGGGGCAGGTCTTTGAACTCCGTTCAAGTCGCTAAAATCGCGTGGGTGTACCGTGTTCGAGAAGTTTTCTGTGATTGTCGTAGGTTCTTTCTGGAAGTTCTTTGGCAAAGTTTTATTCAAGTTTTCTTCCAGAATTCTGTGGAAATTGTTTAATGTATTTCATTTTTGAGTTCTTACCATCCACTAAACGACACAACATAATATATTTTAAGTGTTGTTGTGTGACTTCTCAGGATGCAATCGGGTAAAGCATTTTAAACTCTAAACTTTAAACTTTTCCCCTGAAAGCCTGAATCTCCTTTACCACTTTCTGAACACTTCACATACGCACTGGGTGACACAGTTTTTGTTTTTTTTTTACTGCTACCCACCTCCTGTTTGTCCTTTTCCTTGCGAGCACATTCCTCCGCCTTTCTCCTTCGCCACATGCGTAGGCTCTCCTCCGCATTTTTGCGCTCCACGAGACGCTTCTTCTCGTCACACCACATCAGGGGATGTTGAATGTGGTCGTGGCAGAAATTACCCCCCATGCCCATCTCATCGCTGGTCGTCATTGTGTCTGTGATGCCTCCAGTCTTTGGTTTCCTGTGGGATCGTACTTCTGGGAGCTGGGAGAGCGGAAGTAGCGCTGCGTTCAGCAAATGCCGCGATACTGAAACAGTCTCGTGCTCAAATCAAATCGTTTAACCGCCGAATTGGCTGCACTGATCCGTGCCAGGCACTGCTGGAACTTGGCGGAGTACGGCTGGGCCTCCTATCCGGTTGTCTAGGCAGCGTGCCTGACTATTTATAGCCTAGGTTAAGGCATACTTGGGCCGCACGTGAGCGTCGGGCGACTGTCCTTGAAGTTGTTCTTGCTGTTTGCCAAGTCGTTTAAGGATGGGACAGAGCAGGGTCGGAATTGCTATCCCCTTTTTTGCGTAACCACTGCTAATTTCCTCGGCCATTTAAATATTTTGCCAGTTAGGCACGCTTCAACCTGGCGTTCTGTTTGCTTGCTCTGGTTCCTTGGATGTGTTTGCCTGTCTGGTAGCGTAACGAGGCTTGGACGTAAAATATATTTACTTTATATTGCGCAAAAAAATTGTGCCACGGCTGCCTTAAGTTAACCCAATTCCCTTAAGCTTTGTTCTATAAAAGCGAAATGTTCGCAGAGTCATTTGTATTTGTAAGAAGAGTGCTTCTTATTCGGGCTAAAACTGCTGCAGTATTGCGTGCAATTTAATCCGAAACTTGTTGATATTTTAAACTTAAATGCAGCTCCATATCGTGTTGCTCAGACGCCCCAAAGTGTCGGCTTTTATTTGTTTGCCCCAATTCCGATATCAGACAACACTCACAGTCCCTGCCCGTCGCAACATAAAGCACTTTGGGCCATGTCCAAAACTATTTCACTAGGTCGTCATGGCCGTTGTTTTTGTACCCCAGTCCGCCAATATGTTGCATAGTTACAGTGTTGCAAGCTGCCTTTGGGGCATGCTTTGATAGCAAAGTATCTTTGTGCCTTAAAAAATCAGCAATTGAAGCGTTAATCATCGTTTGTAGAGCACAATTAAGTAATTTAACTGATTTTGGGTAGAATGAAAATTTCCCCCGTGTATTTTTTTCCCGAATGTTTTACAAAATCGAATTTTTATTCATCTCATTAGGTATACAAATATCGTAATTATAGTTATCAATATCAACAACATTTCCATCGTTTCAGCGTTCGCACTCCATAACCTGTGTGTGGGGGACAAATCGTGTCTTCAGCACCCATTTTCCATTGATTTCTACCCAAGATTTGGCTTAAGTTTATTCTCTCTTTTTTTACCTCAGTTTTGTAGGCTGTAAAGGAGCCCTAAACCATTTAACAATTTCTATCAAAAACAAAAAACAAAAGTTGCTGACTGACTTAATTGAGGTTTTGCTGCATAAATTAAAATAAAAACTTAAATAATATTATTTTCTTTCTCATTTTTTATATGGGCTTCTGTAGATATTTTTGTTGTCCGATTTTGATTGAATCTCTTATTAATTATAATTATTATTGCTGAAAATAAGATTGTATTACAATTAAGACTGGGCAGCGTTGTTTTCTCATATAATCCTCTTGTGCGAGGGGGTTTCTTTACATGTACAACAAATTGTATATTTTATGTGTGCATTTCATGCGCGAATGGTTCAAAAATTCAATTTAATTCCATTAAATTAAATAAAGACTTTAAATAAGATATTTTTGTGCTGTCCAAAGGGGCGGGGATTCTGAAAAGTGCAGGCAATGACCATTGAACCATTTAGGCATGAAATGCCTTAAACAAATATTAAGCATAAATAAAACATTAGTTTTGTGTGTATTATTTTAGGGCTGTCTTTCTTTTATAAATATCGTTTCGCACTCTGCTTTCTTTGTTGCATTGACTATATATGATTTTTTTTTCTTTCTTAGAAATAGCTCAACCGGAAGGAAAGTTCCCTCGAAAGTTGCAGCTAAATCTGGGTTTCGATTCCTTTTAGGCATGATTCATTTCAGTTTTAGAAGAAAGATTTGTACAATTGTC